TGGATGGATGGATGTAAAAATATACATTGTGATGGAGGGATGGATGAATGAATGGATGGATGGATGGATGGATGATGGATGATGGATGGATGAATAAAGTATATGATAAATAATATGATGAATGAGTGGTTGATAAAATGATTTATAGATAAACAGAATGAGATGTGCAAACAACAATGGATGGATAAATAGATGGATGATATATAGATACTAAACAGAATGAAAGATGCACAAAAAGATGGAAGGATGAATAGATGATAGCCAGATAGCATGATAATGTCATAATCTGCATGTTTTGTTAAAAAAATGGGTGGTAGAAAGGATGGATAGATGGAAGCGTGGATAGAACGAAGGATGGAAAGCAAACTAAAAGAATGGAAAATAGAAAGACGATGGCAGATAAACAGAATGATAGATGGACTAACAGAAGTATGGATAAATAAAATGAAGATAAAGGGCTAAATAAACAGACAGACAAACAGATGTGTGTTTTTATGCTTATTAATGCTGTGTAAAGGTGAACCATTGTTTGCCGAGCTAATAAAAGATCTTAAAATTCTTAGCGAGAGAGAGAGAGAGGAGGGGGGCTGGAAAAAGCACATCTGGTAGTTATTGTGGTAGTCAGCAGTGCTCCAGGAAATGGGCTGGTGTGTATTTGGCACAAAGTCCAAACTTTTGTGCCTGAGAGCCGTCCCAGCCCAAACGACAGGAAGTACTGTTTATAGCCAAGGGAAATCATGGGAAATCACCCCTTGTGTCCCTCCTGATACAATCATAATCATTTGAGCTCATTCTCCAATCGAAGCTGTTAGAAGCTCATCAATTCTAGTCAGTTCAAAGTATTTTAATCCTTCTGCTTCTCTGCTTTCCCATGGTTTCCCTTAGAGTTTCAGGCCGAAGCCTACAGCTTGAGGCTCCTGCATACCAAACATCTCTTATTTAAATAAGCGTCTCCATTACAGTCTGCACTCACTACATAACTCTCACCACATGTACATCTAGCATCAAACAGTTTAGGAGGCTACACACACGCAGTCTATCTGAGATGTTTCATGTATCAGTAATGGAGTATCACTGGAGAGCTCACTGATGCCTCCGGTGTTCTTGGCTTTGAGATGAGTGTGTGTTTTGTGTGTTTCTGGTAAAGCTGTTTGGGTGGAGCTGCTGGCCTGGTGACCTCAGAGTTTTTTGATGTGGACGGCAGGCCTGGCCGTCAATCTGACTGACAGCTGTTGACAACCTTTGTTTATCCACAGCGGCAAACAGACACCTGCTCTTTTTCTCACACAATTCCTGCATGATGGATGGAAGGAGTAAATGAGGGAAAATGAAAATAAATGTGAGATAAATGGAAAAAAGTGATTAAATTCAAAATAAAAACAAGATCAGAAAGTATATATTAGAAAATATCATGTTAAAATTAGAATAAATATCTAAAATCAAGCAAAAAGTGCTCAGGGGTAGCTTAAATATTGTGTCAGTGCTCCTTGGGTAAGGGATTCATCATAATAAACAGCAAAAATCAGTCCAAGGCACTCGAAAAACATGGAAACAATATTAAAAATCCTTTATAACCCTTTATAAATGACCTTTTTTAAGGATTAGCCATGTGAATAAAGGCTTTTAATATTTCTTCCAGATTTTCGGAGAGCCTTTGACTTATTTTGCTGTAAAAATAAGTATATTAAAGCTTTATACTAAAATAAATGTGCACACGTACATTTTAAAAAATAAATAAAATGTTAATAAAAAATACTAAATTATTATTGAAAAATAATTAAAATCAATTTGAATATCTGTAATTTAGTTCCATCATTGTTTTAAATAAATAAATCAGTCATTTATTCATTTTCCTTTGACTTAGTCCCTTTATTCATCAGGGGACACCACAGCGGAATGAACTGCCGGCATATGTTTCACACAGCGGATGCCCTTCCAGCTGCAACCCACTACTGGGAAACATCCATACACACTTGTTCACACACATACTTATACACTACAGCCAATTTAGTTTGTTTAATTCACCTATACCGCATAGGGGTGTCCAGATTCGATCACGTGATCAGAAAATGGGCCCGATCTTGCGGTTTCAGACTTGATCGGAATCGGAGGTTACCTCCCGATCATGACTCGACTATATATTTTTGAACACATGAATAGTTTTGCAGTGGCACAGAGTTAGACCTCTGATAGACTTCCTACAGAACCAGCAAAGCGTGCGGCATGACATCACTTTGTTGCAGAGACGCTATTGGATAAATGCCGGCAATTAGAACACAGAAGCAGCTTAAAAAGGAGAGCGCGAGTATGTCTGCGGTCTGGAGGTATTATAAAGTTGATGATGACAACATTGCCATTGCCAACATTGTAAGATATGTAAACTTGGCATTAAAAGAGGTGGAAAGGAAAAGGTTACAATTAATCCAACAAACCTTGATAAGAAACTATCAAAAACAAACGTAGAACCTCGATTTGAAATGCTGTCTTTTGCCACGATTTCACAGTGAAAGCTCTGCCAGCCCTTTATAAAAAGACTTCTGACAATGACTTGTCCTGTTAAAAGATGTACCCCATGTTTTGTTCACCACAAACATATACTGTAATTTGTCACAAAGAGTGTACATTAAATCCGAAAAATAAATGGGAACAGTATTTTCATCACTCTCCAATGTATACTTGTAATTTGCTTGTATTTTGTCAAATACTATAAAGTGTCATTAACACTTTATGTCATGTCATTGGTGTCTAAACCACTCTAAAAATATCTAGTTTGTTTACTCTAAAGAAAGGCCTCGAAATCACCTTTAACAAGCTCAATTTGTGATAATAAAGTCGTATAACTCTAGCTCATGCATCAGCAAAAGCATCAGGATGAATATGACCAACAAGCATCAATGGTTTGCACTATATGCGTGAAAGATCCGAAATGGAAAGGCCTCCATCTCAATCACCTCTCTGTGTCCAGTCACGACCTGGAGAAGGAGGAGGAGGAGGAGGGGAGAAGCGTTTTAGGATCCCAGCTGTGACTGTGAAGCAGCTCTTAAACTGAGCTGGAGGCCAAATTAACCCCTGAACCACCTGACAATAAACCTCTGAGACCATGAGCTAGCAGTTCACAGCAGTGCGATTTATTTCACGGCTCTCCGGAATACTTGATTCTGACTCTTCAATCCCAGTGTTCTGTGGTCAAATATGTTTGCATAATAACCGCTAAACTATAGTTGACTTTTATTTTTGACCTGTATGAAACTGACGCTTGAATTTGCATTGTATGTGGGATGCAAACTACACATTTTAGCGACTACATAGTTCACTGCAGGCATTCCATGCATCCAGAAAATTTGCATACTGTGATATGTGGTGCAAAAATAGACATTGGTTGCATGCCAGTGCAAATGTACCCAATCTGTCCAGAGCCCATACAGTTTATGTTAAGTATGCATGTTTGCGAATGCGTGCTATGTTCTGAAAAGCATATTGCCAGCATGCATCATGTATTTATATGCATTATTTATTTTGTTCTTTATTCGTTAATGTTCTGTATGCATAATTAAACCAGCATGGTTTAGGGTTAAGCGTGATTAAAAATGCTAATTTAATATATTTACAGTAAAGCATATTAGAGATGATAAGCAGAAGTTACTGAATGAGGTCATGTGATAGCTGTGTAGTAAATGCAGTAGCTTGAAGTGTTATTTGTTGCATTATGCAAGCTTAAAATTAAGGTTAACCACGAGGAATAAAAAATGTAAATTAGAGCTATTTTTTCTTACACTCTTCTATAGAGCTTTCTGTAGTTTACATCTCTCGATTCAGACTGTTCTAATAGAATTATGAGTTCTTCCAAATTGCAAATTTGTTTTGAACTTATAGATACAACGATAGAAGAAAAAATGCTCAGAATTGTGCAGATTCTGAATTGTACACTATATTGCAGTTTTATATTTAGCAATTCTGAGTTTATATATGAGAATTTTGCCTTTTTTTTTTTCTCCGAAATGTAAATAAATGTCACGATTTTAAGTTTGTTTTTTTTGTAAGAATTGCTTTGTTATTTCATGCAGATCATGATTTGCAACTTTTTGCAAGATATAAAAGTCAGAATTGTACATTTCTATCATACACTTTTTTCCTCAAATATTTTTATATCTCAGATTTGTACATGTATTTCCTGTAATTGCAATTCTGAATTAATATTATGGAGTGTTTACTTTTTTTCGCAGACGTCTGAAAATTCTTAGGTTATACAGTGCTAAGCATATTTAAATACACCCCTCACAAATCTATCTTATGAATTCATATTTTTAATAGAAAGCTATGCAACATTATATTTGTGCATATACATTACATTAGTCAGTACTGAAGCCAAATCTGGAGCTTATCTAACAAAATAACTCACGATAACGGTCTTAAAACTAATACACCCAAATTTACATGTTATAAAAAAAAATCAAAGACAAATTTAAAAAAATAACAATAATAAAGAGAAGCAAAAAATTTAACAACTTAGTTGCAATTTAATTTCGCAATATTTTGCTTGAATTTAACTGTATTATTGTTCAATTTATAAATATGTTTGATGACTAAAATATTATTTTATATATCTGTTTAATTAAATACTAAAATACATTGCCTACATTCACTGAGAAATGAATAAAAATATTCATTTTCCAAATGGGGTGTACTCAGTTACTGACTATCTCTGAATTCTGATATAATATTTAGCAATTTTTTTAAAGTGTGCGTTTCTTCCATTTGTGGGTTTATAAGCTACATTTCTTAATTCTTCGATTTGTCAAAAATGGGTTTTCGTAAAACTCCCCCTCACCTCTTCGGTCCTGTCTGAGTGAGATGCTGGTCTCTGCATATCGGGCCTGATCCACTCGATATCCCTGCTGCTGGAGGACTCTATGGTACAGCTGAACCTCAGTGTCAGTGGGAGCATGCTGGCCGGTCAGAATGATGGCTTTTCCCGCACAGCTGCCTTTAGAATGGCGCACCTGGGACAAAAAAAAAAAAAGAAAATACAAACTGCTTGGTTAGAATACTTCTTATTAGCTAGGATAATCAATGGACATTTTTACTGGCTATGGATTTATCTGAGAGCAAATCACACAGGAGAAATGTATCCGAAAACTACCTCTTACCTGCTGACAGAGTAGTCTTTCTGGCAAAAAAATTGTGCGCACAAAATAGTTTTGTTGTATATACAGTATTTTGCTCATTTTATCAAACTATTAAAGCCAGGAAATGTTGACAGACTTGTACTAAAAAAAATAAAATAAAATAAAACAGCAGTTTTATGTTTATATGTTGCACATTTACCCTCATTTACTTTAAACTTTTAATTTATCTTAGCAAGTTGTCTTAGTTTTTAATGTGTAATGTGTTTTTGTTTATATACTACACTTTAAAATGTAGTGAATCGTTTAATTTTTGTGGCTTCAGTCAGTGTTGGGATACTCATTTAAAGTTGGCAGCATTAGCAAAACATGTATCAAAATAGATCTAATTATCTATCAGTATTAAAAAAAAATTATTAAGACTACATTTTTGCCATATCGCCCAGCATTTATTACTCCATTTAAAAGCTATCAAGCAGGTATTGTGTGTGCTCAAAAAGACAGTTTCACCTGCATAGAAGTACTTGAAGTCAGTTAGTTGTTTCTCCTCAGTGTTTCTGCTTGTTAACAGCAGGTGTTCATCATTAATGCTCAATCAGCCCTTAATTACCTCACTGCCTTAGTTTATACACTCTGACTGAGAATTATATACACACTGCATTTATCACTGGAGGTTTTGCTATGGATATGAATACAGTTTTATCTGGAAAACACAGTATATTCAGACCAAAAATGTGTTTTTAATATGCCATGGATGGAAAAAAGTGACAAAAGTTTATGGTGTTTTTGAAAAACAGACCAAAGAGCAGATGCTTTCATCAATGCTCAACTTTATATTAGCTAATAATTGATTTAAAACCTTAAAGGTGTTTAATTGACCTTATTTGAAATCTGCAAATGCTTCATAAAAGGGCTCAAGTCCTCCAGTAACTCTGTCACATGTGAACATCACAACCCCATCGGCTAATCAGAGAGGCATCCGAGCATTTCAGAAGTCCCCATAGTGCAGTGTAGCATGGTAATAATGACCTCTGTGGGCCATCAGGTAGAGGGCAGGACTGAACTCTTGTTTTCTCTGAGAGCAGGATTAGACCTCAGCTACCGCACAGGAGAAATGTGGGATACATTTCACTTGAGAGCCAGAAGAAAGTCTGACAACATAAGTATTATTACAAGTCCTAATAAATTTAGCGGATGATCATCCAGAGTTGCGTAACAGAATTGAAGGTACACAGTGTGATTTGGGCAGAGCGTGTGAGTGAGGAAGGGAGGGGAGCGTTTCCTCTTCTTCAGCGTGGATGATATCGTTTCCTTTTCTTTGCTCTCTGTGTGTGTTCATCGTTTTTTTCTGTGGTCATGCTGTGCTGTTTTCTCTTGGTCTGTCTGAGGGGTCCACACTCCTGCTCTGCTTCAAAATGTTTCCATCTGGGAGCTGAGCCACATTAATGAAAGGGTCCTAAATGGCCGAAATCAACCCCTGCTCCCCATCATTCACTCATTTAGTGCTCAAAACTAACTCTTTGCTCTTATTCCTACATAGGTTGAAAAAAAGGGGGAAAAGCTCACTTAAATAATATGCTATTATTATTTTTATTATTATTATAGACTATATTATAGCAATATTAATATATAGCAATATAATAATAATAATAATAATAATAATTATTATTATTATTATTATTATTATTATTATTATTATTATTATTATTATTATTATTATTATTATTTTAGGTATAGAAAATTACTTTAATTATTCAGTATATATTTCATTTTACTACTCCTATATAGTATAATGTATTATATGTTGTATTAGATTTAGGTAAACTAAGCCATTATTATAACAGACACAACAACATAATACAACTGTCCTATTAATTTAAATAATAATAATAATAATAATAATAATAATAATAATAATAATAATAATAATAATAATAATAATAATAATAATAATAATGATGATGATGATGATGATGATAATAATAATAATAATAATAATAATGATACAAATTTTAATGCAGAAAATACTTTATCTATTAAGCATTTTTTATTATTATCTTATTTTAATAGACAAAATAACAAAATTTAACTAGCCTTTTCATTTAAATATTAATAATAATAATTTATTCTTTCATATATACAATTGTGTAATATATATTATACTGTATGTCCATTTTAGTTTTATTTTAATCATTTTAATGTTTTTATTATTGCTGGTCAAAGATTGTTTGCAATTAATTGCATCCAAAATATAGGTTTTGACATAGCACATGTGTGTGTATTACATATATAAATATGCATTATGTATATGTGATACACATTAGGGCGGCACAATATATCGTTTCAGCATCAGTATCGCAAACTGATCATATGCAATAGCCACATCGCAGAATATGCAATGATGAGTCTAGATTATAATTGATAATTTCTCAAGTGTTTTTTAGGCCTGTGACTGATTTCAAACCAGTCGAAAGTGTGCTGTTTTTAACTTTGAAAAGTTAATAAAAAATTAACTTCATTGATTTGTTTATACAATGAAGACTATGCAGTAATATTTTACATTTGATTATTCAATTACCATATACCTGAATAGAGTTCATCCTCGAAAAAAATAAAACGCTGTTTATTTAATGTGTATGTTTTTAATTATGGAATTTAACTATGCTTGTAGATTGTTTATTATATTTTATGCCAATGCAGACCTATTAAAAACCATCCCAATCAATCTAAAAATGATAATTTTGTTAAATATTCAAGTAATCTAGTGTAATTGTATTTATATTGAAATGTATTGCAGAAAAATAATAATAAAATCGCAATGATTTTTCCAATATCAACCCAAACACACACACACAAAAAGAAAACAACACAAAACAAATGTGTTACATACACTGTAAAAAAAGCTAGGGTGCCGGAAAAAAACAAACATAAAATAGCAGTTGTTAAATTACAGAAATTTACCATAAAATAACAGACATTAAATTACAGAAATGCCCTCAAATTTAAATTTCTGGTAGATTTCTGTAATTCAACCTCTGTTATTTTACAGATAATTTCGGTAATTTAACGGTCGTTATTTTACGGGATTTTATCGGTAACCCCAAGCTGCTTGAAATAAACCATAAAATAAAGGCTGTTAAATTACAGACATTTTTTACAGTGTAGTAATTTACATGTATATATAATTTGCATCATATACATATATAGTATATTTTATATCTAAATATAAATAGACATTTTCTCAATATATCTATTCATGTGTGTACCTATTTAATAAACACACCAATAAATAAGTGCCAAACAAAACAAAGAAATCATGATTCATATTTGCCCAGCACTAGTTTTTATACATAAATAATTTGAGGAACTGTGATTACAAACAAATACAATAAAAATCAAGTCAAGTTAGTAAATTAAAATCAATTAAAAGACTATTTTCTCTTGTACTCAAACCATATGAAGAACGATAGAGTTCTGACGATGCATTTTGCACAGCAATGTCTTTTTAACTAGATTTCCACCATCTATGGCTAAATACAAAACAATATCTCATTTCTCATGCTCAGTTTGCCACTCTGTCTTCCCTCCATCCTCCAGCCTGTCTCCCCTGCCCTTCTGTGAGACCTCCGGCTGCAGACTCTAATCTAAAACATGCAATTACTGGACTGCATTCATTTCACCCTCCGTGTCTGCGGCCCAAGACACAAACATCATTACTTCATTAAAGCGCCGCCTAAAACAGCCCAGTGCTCAAAGGAAGTAATAACAACCAATAAGAAACATCTCGCCAAGAAAGAGGGAAATAAAAAGGAAGTTGGGAGGGGAGATGAATATATATAAAACCCAAAGAGCTGAGAGAGCGGAATGATACATTAACTTTAATAAGATCTGAAATTAAATCAGCTATACACAAAACATTAAATCCTCTCAGGGAAATCTTCCTTTAATTCCCACACATAAAAACAGGAGATGAAGATACGCATAAATATTAATTTAGTCCTCTGGTGCAGGGATCTGTGAAAACGCAGTCAAATCAACAGCTGAAATAGCTCTTTCACGAGCGGAAAAACAACCTCTGTGTTGGAAAATGAAGGTCATTTCAAACAGGTGAAAAACATACCTGCTTTTAATGTAAAATATACAGCTTTGAAGAAAAAAAAATCTCCGGATTTATTGTTTTGTGTTTGAATAAAACTGAATATTTGCAAAGAATAACTAAAATGTGGCATTTTAAAGACATTTTTAGTTTAATTTTAGACAACAGTATACTAATATAGTAGTACTGAAAAGTTAAAAAATATGATTTCAATATGGCATATGCAGAAATATGTGGAAGGACTTTTAAATTCAGCAACCTGGGTGAAGCGTCTCCGGTGAACTGTATGACGGTTACAAAATCTGTGCGTTCAAGTTCTGTTTTCTTTAAAAATCAATGATGTTCTGTGCTTGATTGATATACAATATAAAGTGAGTCTCAGAATGAACAAGAAGCACTGCATTAAATATTTTTTTCCACATTTTTTTCCTGTCACATTCGTCATGCAAAAACAGTGCAAAGCTAAGCGTGCGTAACAATATTGTGTGTGACTCATTATTGCAGAAAGGCTTGAATTAACTCTACAACAAATACATCAGATAACTTCAGATCTGCTTCATACTTGTCTGTCACTGTGCTGTTTATCTACTGAGATGCTGCAGGTGAAGGCTATGCCCATCACAGCAATCTCCATGGCTCTGACACACACGTGGGGATGGTGGGTGGGGAAAACCAGCTCACTTGCATTTGCAAGCCACAGGCATCAAAAACAGCCACAATGTCCTAAAACAGGGGTCACCAAACTTGTTCCTGGAGGGCCGAAGTCCAGCAGATTTTAGCT